GCTGCCCCTCAGTCCTGCCGCTAGCTCCTCTTGGGTCCTGCTGCCGCTGGCAACTTGTCAGCTTAGGCAGCCATCAGCAGATAATAATTAATTTTCTACATTTTTTTAGGGGCTTTGCAGGCTGGATAGAATTACCTGGTGGACTGGATTCAGCCTGCGGAGTGTATTTTGCCCTCCCCGATCTAATCCATCCCCAAATTTGGTGTCAAGGGCACTTACAATGAAAATGTAAATAAAACCTGACTGCATAGTTGTACCAGAAAACAGCAGTGCAGGTACTTAAAAGGACTACAAATAATTAGATAAGGACTCTGCTTCCTGAGCCTTTTCAATCCTCAGCTCTTCCTTATTTGTCTTCCATTACATTTTTTGAGTGTATATGTACATTTAAAACTGAAAAACAGCTTTCACTAGAAAAAAATGTTCCTGTTACTGTTTTCTTAATTCAGTGGCTGAAATTGGTTGGCATAGACAATACTTTTTAATAAATAACTCTTAAAATGTAACCCGATTAAGCCTACGTTTTAAAACCAACTCACTTATTCTGCTGGACATCTGTCTCAAATGATTGCTTAGAGACAAAATTGTATTCTACTCCTTCTTTTTCATGACTTTTCTTTGATCTTGTTGTATCTGGAAAAGAGAGGAAACAAAATTAAGAAGACCTGAAACATAAAAGACACTTCACACAGGCTCACTTGCCTTTGTTCAGTCTGGGGCTTTTACGTATCCAAAATTAAAAGGACACAAAGGAGTGTGTTAAGGCTGGGGGAGAAAAAACTTCACTTATATTACAAACAAAACCTTAAAACTGGCTTAAAATTTGTTATGTACTTTGTCATCATTATGTATTAAGGTGGCACCAAAAAAGCTCCTGTCAAGGTCACTGGACATTTATGCAAACAGGCAAGGGCATACAGACTCTGCCTCAGTTTGTTTTAGGCCCCCATCCTGTAAATTGTTCTACAAGGCCAACTCTGCACCCACACAAAGCTCTGCGTAAGTTGATGATTCTGTTGTTTGAAGCCCTGTGTCCTGCACTCCCTGACCAAGCTCTGCTCTGTTTTCTGCTCCCTGCACTACAGGAAATGGGCTTGTAACAGGCATTGCCAGGTGAAATTTTCTGGCATTTTGAGTTGCATCCATCAGATTACAAGATCAGACTGATAAATGATTGAATTTGGCATCAGTAATTCCCATTTTATGTTGGCTTGCACTAGATACAATAGTTTAACACAGGGGTGGCCAACTACCAATCTATGCCACATGACAGGCAGCCTGTGGGTGTGGCACACAGCAGTTTAGAGGTGGGGACAGGCAGCACAGTGGTAGGTAAGGCAGGGAGCAGAAAGCAGAGCCAAAACTCAGTCAAGGAGCACATGGCAGGAAACATAAAACTAAGCAGCAGATTGGGAAAGGGATCAAACTGACAATGGGGGGGG